TCTGAAATGTCGTAGAGGATTTAATTCTTAACAACCTTTAAATGGCTCCGAACCTTGTACCAAATACTGATTGGGATATGATTTTTTCAAGTAGCTCTACCGTGGATATTTGATCTGTTTATATGGACATTAACGGACGTCGCATATTCTTGATGAGAAATTTGGATTTCTCGATTCTAGGTTTAACATTTGTGGTTTAACTTTAACTTAAACCGGCACGATTCTTCAAAGAATACCTACTCAGAAACTTCAAAGTTCAGCATAATACGTTCTTTATATTTAAAAAATCGCTTGAATCACTTTAAGCGAACCCTCGTTCCATACTATCACTTCATATAAAAATTCTGAAATCCTCTGCAGAACTTTGTCATCATGATATTCAGATGAGGTCTTATTATTGATAAAAAAATAAATACAAAATGTCCTCTGGAGTGGTACCTCTCTGATCGAATCGTTTTTTTCTACCTTAAATTAATATCAATGAAATCATAAATTCAACAAATTCCTAGAAGCTGTTAATATGTTATTGCGGAATATTACCATAAATCGGGTTCAATTTATTTGCAAGAGTACAATTCATGAAGTAGTATGCATGATAACAGTCCTGCTCCTAGAATAGTTCACCTTCCCACGCAGATAAGACGTAGCGCTGGGAAAAGTACCCCTAAGAAAATTAATTAGAAAGTCTCACACCTATTAAAACATTTTGAAATCAAACCAAATAAAATTAAGAATAGCGATAAAAGCAATCATTTCTTGATAAAAAAAAAGACCCCTCGCGATACCCTGTATTAATGCAAAACTTTCTTATGCAATAAAAAATTAAATTACAATCTTTGTCTTTTCCTGAATGGGAAAAAAATCTGTATAAAACGGAGTCCTGGCACTTACAAAATCACAGTTGAATCGAGTTTTGCTTGACCGAACCACAAGAATGAAGTCCATAGTTTTGTTAGGTTTCTTAGCTTTGGCCGCTGCAAGCCCTTTCGGATGGTCTTCTACAGGTATGTACATCTTTTAAATTAATTAATTTGATTCCAAAACTATTTTGCTAACATAAGAAATTTCCATAGAATTTTAATAGTCTTTAGGAATCCAAATATTGAAAGAATATTTTTCTGCAGGCTCCTCATCAACAGGTAACCAATGGCAAAACAGTTGGTGGACTAGATTATCTGGTCTTCAACAATCTCACCAAAAAAGCGGGCAGCAACAAGGTACACTATCCCAGATGCAACAGATTGTTCAACAGCAACAACAGGGACAAGGTTCTATTATTGGACAACACCAACCTCAAATCGTCCAGCAGTTGTTACAACAACAAAGTCAACAATCCCAAATTCAAAACATTGTTCAACAGCTACAACAAGGACAAAATTGGATAAACGGACAAGCGCAACCTCAAATGGTCCAACAACAATTACAACAAATTGTCCAACAATTATTGCAACTACAACAGCAACAAGGTCAACAATCCCAAATTGGAAATATCGGTCAACAACAATTACAACAATTGGTTCAGCAGTTGTGGCAGCAACAGCAACAAAACCAACAATCTCAAATTCAAAATATTTTCCAACAGCTACAACAAGGACAAAATTGGATAAACGGGCAAGCGCAACCCCAAATGGTTCAACTACAATTACAAAAAATTGTCCAACAAATATTGCAACAACAACAACAGCAACAATTGGTTGATACTGAACAGGTTTTCGGACAACTCCCACAATACCTGATCCAGAAGCTTCAACAATCTGTCCAAAGAAATAGCCAGCAACAAATTCAACAATCCCAGATTCAAAACATTGTACAACAAAGCCAACAAGAACAATGTTCTATCATTGGACAGCAGCAATCCCAAATCGTTCAACAACAACTACAACAAACCGTCCAGCAATTATTGCAACAACAAGAACAATTAGTTGGCCAACAACAAACACTGAGTCAGCAAGGACAGGTTCAACAACAACAATGGCAGCAAGTATACGGACAGGTTCAACAAGAACAAGTAAGATCGATTTCGTCATTTCTCAATACCAAACCATCGATTAACATTTCCATTTTTTGCAGGTGTTACCAATTGGTGCCATCCAATCCCTTCCACAACAGTTGGCTCAACAACCAATGCAACAACAATGGCAAATCGAGCAGCAATTGCAACAATTGAGATCAATTGAGTCTCAAGTGCAGGATTCTTTAAACTTAGGTCAAAATATCATTGCCGTCAGTGTACTTCCTGAAATCCAGCAACAAATCCAAGCTGGACAACAAGTCCAGGGAATTCAACGGTAAGATTGTTCAATCCGATACCAAATGTACCTTGCTTAAAATGTGTAAACTTTTTTAGTGAAATTGTCAGGCAATTGATCAAAGTCCAACTTCTCCAAAGCGAATTGCAGCAATTGAACCAAAAAATAAACCAAGTGCAAATCCAACAAGTAATCGCTCAAGAACAAGGTCAGCTTAGCCAAACCTCCGTATTGCAAGTGGTTCAACAACAACTGGTTCAACAAGAAACACAATTGTTAGCTGAACAGATCACCCGTAAAGTCATCGTACAAGAGTTGCAGCAAGCTTTGAGAATCATTCAACAACAAGAAGTTGAAATTGTAGGCCAACAACCCCAACAAGTCGTGCAACAATGGGTCCAAGGTAAACCTTTGGTGGAAGTTGAAAGCTACTCCGTTCCAGTATGGCAACGTATGGTAGCAACCAGGAAAGTTGTGTCGCCCAGCTGGAGGTCCCAGCAAGTTCCAGTTTCGCAATTGCAACAGCAAGGCAGACTTCAGGCTATTTTGTCTCTTTAAATCCTTGAAAACACGAATGTATTGTGCATTATGTCTGTGAAATCGAAATTGTAATTTAGTTTTTAGAATAAATTCAAAGCAAGACTGATTTTGGTTGTTTTATTGGTGTTATTAAAGAAAAAACACTCTACTTTAGAATGAAGATCGTTTTAGCTAGGTTAAAGAATCAGGCTTACTGTTTCCGAAATATGTATTTGGGACTGATTGCCTGAAGAAGGTAACTATTCCAAACTAAAGCCGACTATAAACAATAATAATACAATATGGTAATGCTTGATGTTTTCTGAATTCTCATCAAAAACAAGTTTTATGAATACCTAGTAGAGAGGTACCTAAATTTAATATCCTTCTTCAATTTAGGATTTCGCAAGAACAAGAAGACAGACGATTGAAAGACACATGGTAAGATATTCACTGGTTTGCAGGATATTTTAGCTGGCTTGCAGGATTGTTCCAGAACAATAGATAGTTTCTGACTGGAATGTTCTGCATCTGGTAATCCTGTAAATATCTTTCAGTCTTTCTTCCAGCCGTCTGTCTTCTTTCTCTTGCAGAATTCTAGATCAAAACCGTCAATAAATAATATTTTATTTATGTGGTGAAATGGTTTGTCATGAGATTTTAGTACATGGAAATATGCTGGAATTCTCCACCCTCACTTAAGGATCATAGATTAGATTGTAGTCGAGAACGTCGGATCATCTATTAGTGTAAGCGTTGTAAGGCAATTTTTGGAAGACCATCTTGTATAATTTTAAAACCGCCTAAAGCCCTAAAAACAGTATTTGAGAAGTGGTTATAGACAACAAATAAAAATACCTGAAATATTACAAAAAATGAATGAATCTTTTATCCAAATTGAATTCAGCTCTAACAGATACGTTATCCTAATCTGGCTCGAACAACACTTATCAAAATATTTAAAAGTCACACCAATATAGTTTACAAAAAAATTAAGTTATTTATATCTTGATAAAAAAGATCCCTCGCAATGCTAAACATCTCCAATCTCCATTTTCCAATCTCGAATTCTGAATCTCGAATTTCAATGCACAGCTAACAAACATGAGATTTTTGGGCTCTGAGGATTTTATAAATTTATGGTCGTTGAGGATATAATTCTTAACAAACATTGGAGGATGAACTGCAAATATTTCAACTCTTGAACCATGCTGAACCAAATTCAACTCCAACAAGTCAATCCAGCAAGTGATTGAGCAACAGTTGGTTCAACAAGAAATAAATTATCAGCAGAAAAGTCCGCAAAGTCATCGTGTAACAGTAGCAGGAATCTTTAAAAAACGGTTAACAACAAGAAGTTGAAGTATAAGGTCAAGTAATAATCGTTGGTCCAAGGTATATTTTTGCCTGAAGCTGAAAGCTCCTTATTTCCATTCCAGGGACAAGTTGTGTCAAGCCGGAGGTCCCAGCATTTTCCAGTCTCTCAATTGCATCAGAAAGGAAGCAGCAGGCTGTTTTGTGCCAGGATTGTATATTGAAAATCGTAGTTTAGTTTTTGGAAAAAATGCCTTTAGGCAAACATTGATCTAGGAAGTCTACTTTTTTAGTAGCTCTACCGTGGTATTATGATTTATTTATATGGACTCTGATAAACGTCTTGTAGAAAATCCAATGCAACCATACATGAAATGAAGTGTCTTGTAAGAGCCTCATCTCTAGATTGGGTAGATCATTTTGAAGTTCCTATAGATAGGTTAAATCGACTCTAGGCATTTCTAAGACATATGTTACTTTTCTAAATTCCGCAAGCTTTTAGGATTTCCAACTTTTTTTTTTTAGTATTTATCAAAAGCCGATGCATATATGTAGGTACCTACGTTTTTACCTAGAAATCACTTTGTATGGCCAAAAAGACATTGCATTTCAATTTTCCTTTACCTAGGCCCAAATAAATGTATTTTTTGTGATCTCAATACTTCTTTGATAAATTGTAAAGATGAAATGCAAATGGAAAATTTAAATTAACATACTGATATCTGCATCTCGTTTACGCGAGCCAGACAGACATTTTGTAACCCAATAAGATATCTTTGTTGCTACCCCAAGAATATTTTAAAGGTACTAAAAACAATAAGATAATGACAAAATTCCGCTATGTCGTAATGAGCTTTCATATAATTGATAAAATTTTATATAAAAGCCAACATTTATTTTGAAAAATCACACATCAAGTTTCAGTGTTTTAATTCACTCAAGATGAAGTGTGCGATTTTCTTTGCTTTTCTAGCTTTTACTAGCGCCACGCCCTTGACTGGATGGAGAAATGTTGGAACATATTGGCCCCAAGAATTCTGGAATCTCCGGAATGTTGCTACTGATGATAATAGTCATGCTGAAGCTATTCAACAATTGAAACAGTATCCTCACATGTGGACAGGTATTATTGAAATTTTCATAACCTTTGCTTTTATTTATGTATAAATATTCAGTTCCAGAACAGTCCATTGTTTCCCAAATGCTCATGAATACCCACGAGTTTCCCCATACTAACCAACACCTCCAACAGCTGCCATTGTTTTCCCATGAAACATTCCATCACTTATCCGAAATGCCCATTGAAATGCATCAACTTCCCTGGGAACAGACTCACGAAACTTACCATCATTTTTCTGGAATGCCAATAAAAACACATGAAATTCCAATGGAGAGAGCTTACCAACAAATTTCCGGAATGCCAATGAATACACATGGAAAAATCCACCAACAATTTTTGGAAATGCTTGGAATCCCTTCTGCACACACTCCTGAAGCTTCCCATTACTTATCTGAAATGCCAATGTCACATGTAGCTTCCCTACAACACTATTACGGAAATATGAAAAACGTACAGCAACCATTTTGGCAACAAGATGACGTAGCTCATCACCAAGGTAAACCTACCGAATATCACCATATTAACCACGAAGTACCATTGCAATATTTCCACTCCAGACTGCAAAAATTTGTAGAAGAACACAGCGAACAAGAAGTGCATAGGTAAGAACCTTTAGTTCGATCAAAAATGTATTAAATGATTCATTTCTTTCCCAGTTTAATTGTTCATCTTCACGATTTGACGCAAGAGCTTCACCACCAACAAGAAGTAATCGGTAAACAATTATCGCATGTTGAATCTCGTCTAATGAGGCATCAACGTCATCATCATCAACAAGGTCACATCGAAGAGTACCAACAATTGCAACAAGTCCATCATCAACTACAATTGCAAAAAGCTCAGCTGATTAGGCAACAACTTGCTCAAGAATCAGTTGTTGAGTATTTGGGAGAAGCTTTGGTTCGCAGGCAACAACATCATTTTGGTACACAGGAAAATGCGCGCCCTTTCTGGAGAAGCGCTTGGTGGTACTAAGCTGGATTGATTTGGAAATTTTGACTGGATTTATTATCAATGACCTTGTAGATTAGTTTCAATAAAAAGCAATATTATGTATTTAAGTTTTGCTGCCTGAAAACCCTTGACAAGCTTTAGCGAAAAATTTTCCGAGAATTGTTTCTGCAATAGCTCCTTGGAGTTGAGCAATGTGTGGATTTACTAGTAATTATTTTACTCTACAAAAAGCAAAAATAAAATAATTATTTCGCTACCACTTTTAAATACGCTATAGCTCGAATAGCGTTCTGCAGGTTTAGTGCGTGCTACTTTAACACGTTTACTGCTTCTCTGATATTAGTACTATGTGGCGGACAGCTGACAGAATATTTTTTTTTTTAGCAAATATTTTCTATAATCGCGATGATCAGGAACGGCAAAAATCCTACCACAACCCCATCCTCCCGAATATATAACAATGAGGTGGTTCCATAAAAAATTAAGTTCACTTTTTGTAGCCTAAGAGCTTCTCTATCTTCTTCCTTATATGATTTCTTGCTTCTCCAATTTTTTTTCTGAATTTTTTTTCTTCTTCCGCTACCTTTCAGGTGTACCCAAGTTCTACAGCTCATACTGTATCTGCTCTTGCTGACCATGTTATATCTGAAACGTTTTTCACTGAGATGGCATGCTCGAACTGTACAACATCTTGCACAAAGTTTATAAGAGAGGCATCGGTGCAGAAAAAAGTGTGAATAGTTTGTATAAAAAGTGCTTGCAAGAATAGCAGTAAACTTTCCTTGATTTTATTTGATTTTATTATGTCAATATGATCATAGCAAAGTCATTTGTTATACACCTGGCTATACTATACTACCTGATCATCATCATCTTCATAATAAAAATTCAGTTTCTTGACAGAATCATTGTTTGTGGATTATGCGATGAGTAAATAAGCCTATTCTGGACCAACATTGATTGCCATCCAATCAGCGGTAGCCAGTCATTGTTCTGGACCTGGTCAGATGTTCTGATTCTTTTCTACGACTCACTACGTCGGATAGGGCCTGACATCCGGACCAATTTTCGGGCCTAAATTGTTATATTCAAACTCAAGTTTTGCTTTAGAGATTCTTCATGAGCTTCTACGTTGAGGCTAACTTTAGGAATCTATATTAAATCTTGCCTGCAATCTTTAATCGACCTGGAAGTGATTGCTCCGATGAGCCACAGGTTTTTATAAATAACATATATATTTGTTGACTGGCTATTGAGTGCTCCACAAACCATTCTGTCGATTTCCAAACAAGGACTGCTTTTTGTCCTTGATTCTGCGTTGGTTGAAACCTGGAAATCAACTTGTTACAATCAAACTAAAATCTCAAAAACCATCCAGTGTTAACATAAAATCAGCAAGCCTTCGGGTAGTCCTAGTTGCCATAACATTTTTTTCAAGGAATTCCGAACCATTTATTGTTTTCGTCAAAATTATTTGTCTCTTTTTGGAGCACATGATCCTAATTAAAAGAACATAAATCTAGAAATTGCTTATTAGGTACAACAATGACAATGAACTTGACCTCTGAATATTGTTATTCCTTTATTGTGAATTGCTAATTTAAAAATAAATAAAACGCAACAGATTGTATTAATTAGTGTTTGACCTAGACGAGCCAGTGTCCAGATATCAGCGGTTGGCGACACCAGCAGACAAAGGCGCGAGTTTCTTGTCACCCAGCAACAATAATTATCACGACAAATTACGATAAAGAACTTATTAAGTATAAAAAATCCCATTCGATATTGACCAAATCACTCGAGAATTAGCGATGAAGTGTATCATTATCTTCGCCCTTTTCTTGGGCATTTCCAATGCATTCAGTTTAGGACTTGGAGGGTTGCAAAGGGAAGTTAGAGTTAATGGAGAGAGAAGAATTTTTATCAGAAATGCCAGAATGATGATTATATTCAATGTGCCAAAAAATAATCCTGATTATTTGGAAATTGTTGGAATTGGAGATGGTAAATTGATTAGAAAAGTTGTCATGGACGATAAGCAGAATATTATTACGGATGTACGTACTGGACACGTAGAAAACTATAGTCAAGAACAAATGGTAAGATTTATGGTGAAGATATATATATATTTTTTTTTAGAATAGTAATTCGTAACTTTACGATAGTTTTTTTTTCAAGTTTTTGATGATAAAATAATTCTTTGCATCGTCAAAAACAGTCTAAGGTGTCTGGTAATAAACCGTCTATTTCTAACTTGTTTAAAATGTATCTAGTATTTTTAGTTACAGATTATATCGATTTCGAAATATGTTTTGATGATAAAATAGGTAAAGAGTAATGATTTACTACCAACAAACACAATCGTAAAAGTAAACTGTGGGTCCACGTCACTCGTGTAGAGCGTGGAAGCCTTTTTTCATTAAACTTCATCTATTTTAAACTTTATTATTAGCCATTTCTTTATAACTCATCGAACAAAGTTGACGTTATTTTTGCTGGCTTAAAGTCTTCAAATGATACGCAATCCGGTTCTATTAATCAAAATAGGATGTACAATTCAATAGGAAAACCCTTTACCCTTTTGATCTTCGCCCCGGAAATAGAATAAAACCAAGTTACTATTTCATAGATCAGTTTTCCTTGAGTTTTTCCCAGAGAAATCTTAACAGTTTTTCAAATACGACTGGTTGGGGGGCTATTATAGGTTATTTGTCATAACAACCTAGGGCTCTTTGACCCTAATCAATCGACAAAAAAAATATTATAGAGGCAAATCGAAGAAGCATAGAAATAATAATTGAATTATTTTAGAACGATGATCAACCAACAACAATTTCACCGCCAACAGAAAATCATCAGATCAAAGTTTTATTGAACATCTTCCGTAACTACCAAGGATTTTCCGGAGAAGGAGCCTTCTTCGAAATCCTGAAGAAAGTGAAACAGGCCGTTGGTAACCAAGAATTGCATCCAATGATTTATGAAGCACTGAAGGAGTTGGAAGTACAACCAAACCCACAACCAAATATTCCAAAAAGAAATGACACTGCAAGAAATGTTAGTGAGAAAGTAGCTAAGGAGGAAGTGGTAAAATCTGATGGGTCTGATGGTGAGAGTTTATAACCAAAACTAATGAAAAAGTTGAACTTTTTTAAATTCTAGCAATAAACATCAAAAAAGAACGTGACGCAAAATTCAAAGTTCTCGAAGCAATGCGTGCCGCCCAACAGATTGAATGGCTACAAAAACTACTAGCAATGCAGCATGTTAATAACGCCCAAAGCGTGATGGCTCAACAAGAAGATCCTATCAAGCAGATTGACTCGTTTATAGTTGCTACTGACAAGTACGGCGACAAAAACCAAGCTGACTTGAGGCAGATGCTAATCAAAACCAACATTCAGGAAATACAAAGGTAAAGTTTCTTCAAATTAATCCACTAAAATCTAATTGATTTTGTTCCAGGGAAATTACTCGTCTTGAGCTTATCGCCGAACAGCTGCAAAATCAACAGGACTTTTTGGGCGAACAAAAGCAGCAAATGAAAATGCATACAATACTGGGTTACCATCAAGGTGCGCAATCCGATCAAATGAGAGAGATGAACGAGGCCTATAGGCAAATAAAAGAGCAGGAAAAGAGATTGGTGGGAGAGCAAATAACAATTTTGAAGAAAATCCATGATCTTCAGATCAAGTTGATTTTGCAAAATCAAGAGCTGGATCAGAATTTAAGCAAAGAGGATAACTAATATTTTTTAATTTTTTTTCGGGAACGAAGAAAAGAAAAAATTAATAGCCTATGTGCTTTGTAAAATAATCATCAATAACAATATAAATAGATTTTTCAAGTTTTTGTAATATTTTTTCATTATTAGATAAGATAGGCATGGAATGTATATTTATTTGCAAGTTAATTATACCGTCAGCACCTATTCAAGAAGAGTTCGAATGGGGATTGTTCCCTAAACAGCTCCAATCTTTCCAGGGTGCTGTTTTGCTGGGTAGGATTTACCATTTATGGATGTCATCCATCGTCATAGCCATACACTCACTAAAGAGTATTCTAGGAATCTTGGCAGCATCATTATTTGTGGTTCCTCTGATGGCTAAATAAGCCTATACTAAACCAACAATTCCTCCCATATTTGTGTGTTATCAGACATTCTAGTTCTTTCTTCATCTACCTCTGTATATCTTCGCCTCCGTTGTTCGAAATACTCCGAGCCTTGATGGGTATTTCATCGCCATAAGCATCTATTCAGAGCCGTACCCTCCCAGTACCCACATCGATCTGATGAACTAATTTCTGTATCGTTGGAATTGTCCCCTTTGTTGCATTTGAAGCTAATTTTGATATTTCCATTAATTATTGTGAATATGTAGTATCTTGGTTGGTCTAAGGCGGCGTCAGGCGGGATCGTGTTCCGATGTGCAGTGTAGCCTTAACGCTTATTGTGCTTAAGCAAGCTGCGTCCCTTTGATGAGATCTAGCAGCTTGCTGGCAAGTTTCTCATGCGGAAGTCTCTCGCCTCGTTGTATTCCTCCAAATGAATTGTATCTTCCGCGAGCCAGTCCTTCACAGTTGTATATTATGTGTAAGGCGGTTTCCTCTTTTTCACCACACAGACTACAGGTCGTTGGGCCATTGTAGATTCTCATTTTCTGCATGTTCGCTTTAAGATGACAGTGTCCTCCTAGGAGTTCTACCATCCGTCTTATCTGAACTTAGTGACAGTACTTCAGCAGTGAGCATCTTTGCCTTCGAGTGTCTTGACTGTCTCGCTCCAGATGTGGACCGCCAAAAGTCGAGGTGTTGATGGGTCGACCACCTTTCAACTGCTGTCTCTATAACCTGCTTCGATATCCCAAATGCGGGTTCTGGTCTTGTGTAGGGTGCAGCTACGCCCGCTTTGGCCAGTTTGTCAGCCTTTTCGTTGTCTTCTATCCCTGAATGCCCAGGAACCCACAGGAGCTTTATCCTGTTATTCCTTGACGACAGAGCTTCCAGGTCATGTGAATCGATGTGAGCTCAGAGCTTCTAGAGCAGCCTGACTGTCTGAGAGAATGCTTATGTTCTAGTGTTATGTGAACAATAATTATGTAAACATAAAGTGTCACATGTTCAGGGTTTGATACATTTTATTTATATCCTGAACGACATGTAACATTTGAATGTGAAGTCATAACGATGATTGTAAAATTTTAGATAATAGGTAGGCAGGGGTTGTTTATAGAAAAACAGTTTAAAATATAAAAAAATAGTCTGGAGTTGTATTTTCTCTGGAGATACACGGCCAATTTTCAGCTTTACAAGATAGTTGATTGTGTTTGGAACACAGAAGCTAACAGTTATAACCCAGCCTTAGAATCTCCTGTGTGCATGCTTGAATTGCATAGATTTCCGCCTGGTAAACTGTGGCGTTAAGCCCCACAGGGATGGTTTGTTCTGATCTTGGTATAGATACGCCATATACATCCGCTGTATACCAGACCAGACCTCTTCTTATATTAGGCGTTCCTGCCATATGCTTGGGTCGCATATGACTTTGAATGGTTTTTCAACCTTATGGGTTACAACAATTTGATCCGTTTGCATTTCCACTATGTTATCGTCCATCAGGTCGATAACCTTTGGGTGGCCATAGTTGCCTGGTGTTTCAGGCAGCCCTCATCCGGTGGGAATTAACTATGGCTGCCATTTTAATGTGAACATTGAGGGGAGCTAGCACTAGAATTGCTTCCAGCGCTGCAGTGGGTGGGCTTCTTATAGCCCCGGTGATGCACAGACATGTCAGTCTCTGGAGGCTCTTCAGTTTATTGACCATCGTTACTTGTGCTTTTGTCTGCCATATTGCAGCTTCGTATACAACTATAGGCCTGATAACCGTGGCGTACAGCCATATCATCATCCTTGGTCTCAGACCCGGCATGTTTTTCCCAACAGACTTCCGAATCTAACTAGACACATTTTGGCTTTGTTGAGGTTTCTCTCCAATGTGAGTTCCATGTTACATTGGCGTCCAGAATTAGAACTAGGTATTTCACTTCGTCTGCTTCGGTTGTATTCACTTATGTTCCTTCGTCTAGTGAAAGGTACTATCGCGGTATTTCTGGCGTTGACCATGTAGTTTGCTTTCTCGCATCAGGGTTGTACAGCTATCAGTGCTATTTGCATAACTTCTGCTATGACCGTAGGATGTTTCCTTTGAACGAGTATCGCTACATCGTCTGCATACCCTGGGGCGTAAAATCCCTGTGAGTTGAGATGCACGAGCAACTCATCCACCACTAGGTTCCATAGAAATGGCGATAGAACGCCTTAGAGGCATTCTTGAGTAACGTCAGCTTCTGCCTTCTAGGGTGTCTCCATATAAGTATGTTGCATGACTTTGTATCATTGGTATCTTGTATCATTGATATCTGGCCCTGTTGCCATATTATTTTTTATCCGTTCTTGGAATATCTCTATTTCATATTTGGAGAGGCTGCACTTTCTTACTTTCGCATTCGACATCATTATTATAAATAGGGTAATAGCAGTAAGAAAAATGTGAAATAATATAGTGTTTTGTTATACAGAAAAAAACTCGCACTGTATATTCCATAACTCTAAAAATAAATTGAATGAGAAATGATGCTGGAGACACGGAGTTGAGGAAATATTTCGGTTCGCACTTAATAGACTGTCGATGGCGTTATATTGAGGTCGACCCAGTAGCCTACTCGAGTTGGTGGAAGAAGAGGCGGAGGGAATGAATGCCCATGCCTCGGTATGCAACCAATTTCGTGACGCGGAGCCCAAATGAAATTTTGACGGGAAAACGACGAGAATGAAAGAAAGAAAATACCGAGTTTTCCCTCCACTTCAGTTTCTTGGCTGCGTTCGAGATGTCGCCGCCAACGCCATCCCTGACGACATATTTTATTGTTGGAAATGATGCGGCAAATTAAGTTTTTTTTACGCTCTATTCAATGGAGTCAATAGCGGTGGCCGAGGAAATAATAATTAGTTTGATTTGTTCAGATCAATCGATAGAGAACGAAGAATGTTTGTTCACTAGTTGAAAAGGGGTAAATAAAACAATATAAGTTAATGGATTCTCACTTTTCTCTCATTATTTTTTGAATGAATGATGGTTAGGTACTATTAATTCAATTCAATTCAATTCAAAATAAGCTTTATTATCTTAAGACAATAGTCTCATTGACAAAGCATAAATATAACATAAGGGAAATCATCAATAATCAAAGTCAACAACAATCAAATACCTAATTAAAACTAATAAATCAAACAAACAGAGTGACAATCGAGGTGACAATACTTTAACATAATGCAGAAAAAAAAAACAATAAATAAAGTAAATAGAGTACGGGAGCTAAAATCAGCAGTCACAGCAACAATCAAGCCACAATTAAACAATTAAAACTTATAAATAAAATGAATAGAGTGGTAAAGCTTAAACATAAAATGTACAGTTTAAAAGTCTCTGTAAAATTCGTCAATACTGTAATACGCCTTACCAATCAATAGCCTTCGGACCCCATTTTTAAACAGTTTCAATGTCGGAGAAACTTTAACTTCATTGGGTAAATGATGATACATTTTTATACTTTCGTATATCACAGACTTTTTAGTAAGAGTTAAGGTAGGTATAGGAAGAGGTAAATTAAGCAACTGGCGAGTATTGTAACGCGAGCTAGGAGATATTAAATTGTGACGATTTTTATAGACAATACAAACACTTTCCAAGATAAATAGACTGTACAATGTCAGAATTTTGTGGCTCAAAAACAATGGCCTGCATGAATCTCGTTGGTTCACTCGACTCAAATACCTAACTGCTCGTTTTTGCAAGACAAACAAGCTGTTCAGCAAACGCAAACCAGACATGCCCCAGAAGCAGATCCCATATCTGAGACGTGACTCAATGAGCGAGTAGTAGACAGTTCGGCCCATTGAAGGACCCAATTCATTGACCGTAATCTTGACCGCGTAGCATCCTGAAGCTACTCTTTTGCTCAGAGCAACAATATGGGACTCAAACCTAAGCTCATTATCTATGATAAGTCCGAGAAACTTCGCGCTAGTACGATTCTCAATGGCGGTATCCTCAATAACCAAACCCTCCACGTGACACTTGAAGCTTACAACATTTGTTTTCTCAAAATTCAGCAACAAAAGGTTTGCATCACACCAAGCCTTGACTTTCTTAATATCATTAGAAATATTATCATGTAAGGAAGCCAAATCTCTACAGTGCCACAAGACTGTAGTGTCATCCGCGAAAAGTGTAAACCTTCCACTAATGTCTAAAGTAGGCAAATCAGTAATAAATAGGAGAAAGAGAGTTGGACCCAAAACGGATCCCTGAGAAACCCCCCAATCAATACTCTCACTCTCTGAATATCCAGACTTCATAAAAACTCTCTGGTGGCGTCCAGTCAAGTATGACTCGAACCAAGAAAGTGCCACCCCTCTGAAACCATAGGAATGAAGCTTACGTAAAAGAATTTCATGACTAACACAGTCGAACGCCTTGGACAAGTCACAAAACGCCGCCGCGGCTACTCCACCCCTGTTAATTCGTGAATATAAGTCTTCCAATAATCTGAACATAGCATCATTAGTACTCTTTTCTTCCTGGAATCCAAACTGGCTACTATTTAAAATATTATTTACATTCATAAATGAGGTCATTCGCGATTTAACCAATTTTTCGATAATCTTAGAGAGCGTAGATAACAATGAAATTGGCCGGTAATTTGAAGGTTCATCTGTATCACCTCCCTTATAAAGAGGAATAACTTTGGCCGTTTTTAAGCATGGAGAGAAGATGCCTGACTCCCAAGAAATATTAATTGCTTGTACCAATATACCCAGTACAGCAACGGGCAAGTTTAAATATATGT